TTTGAAACCACAATAATGGGGAAGACTGCTGACTTGGCAATGGTCCAGAAGACAATCATTGACACCCTCCACAAAGAGGGTAAGTCACAGAAGGTCATTACTGAAAGGGGTGGCTGTTCACAGAGTGCTGTATCAAAGCATATTAAATGCAAAGTTGACTGGAAGGAAGAAATTGGGTAGGAAAAGGTGCACAGGCAACAGGGATGACCGCAAGCTTGAGAATACTGTCAAGCAAAGCCGATTCAAACATTTGGGAGAGCTTTACAAGGAGTGGACTGAAACTGGAGTCAGTGCATCAAGAGTCACCACGCTTAGACGTCTTCAGGAAAAGGGCTACCAAGCCACTTCTGAAACAGAAACAACGTCAGAAGCATCTTACCTGGGCTAAGGAGAAAAAGAACTGGACTGTTGCTCAGTGGTCCAAACTCTTATCTCTATCTCTTTTCAGATAAAAGTACATTTAAATCAAGTCCAAAGTCAATGCAGCCATCTACCAGAAGATTTTGGAGCACTTTATGCGTCCATCTGCTGACAAGCTTTATGGAGATGCTGATTTCCTTTTCCAGCAGGACTTTAGTCCAACAATCCAGACGAGCTGAAGGCTCAATAGTGCCTCAGCAGTTCCAAAGGCTGATCGCTTCCATTCCACACATCGCTGATGCTGGAGTTTGTGCTAAAGGAGCCCCGACCAAGTATTGAGTGCTTAAATAAACATACTTTAAAGAACTTGAACTTTTCTGTTTTGCAAATCCTTTTTTTTTTATTGATCTTAGCAAATATTCTAATATTTTGAGATACTGGATTTTTGACTTTCATGAGCTATAAGCTCTAATCATCAAAATAAAAACAAAAACAAAAAACTTTTGAAATGTTTTACATGTAATGAACCTAGAATATATGAAAGTTTCACTTTTGGAAATAAGTTACCAAAAAAAAAAAAAAAGAATATTTTCCCGATATTCTAATTTTTTTAGATGCACCTATATTATAGACTTTTGAATAGTATAGTGCATAATGTTCCAAAAACTTTTTATTTCAGATAAATGCTGATCTTTGGATCTTTCTATTCATCAAAGAATCCTGAAAAAAAAAATGTACTCAACTGTTTTAAATATTGATAATACTACTAATAATAAATGTTTCTTGAACAGTAAATCAGCATATTAGAATAATTTCTGAAGGATCATGTGACACTGAAGACGGGAATAATGATGCTGAAATTTTTGCTTTGCTCACAGGAATAAATTACATTTTAAAATATATTCAAATAGAAAGCAGTTGTTTTAAATAGTAAACATTTAACAATAGTTCTGCTTTTGCTGTATTTTGGATCAAATAAATGCAGGCTTGTTGAGCAAAAGAGAAATCTTTAAAAAAAACTTTTGACTGGTATTTTATATTCAAATTGAAATCAGTTGCTTTGAATTTTAACAGTATTTCACCATATCGTTTTTACTCTAATTTTAATCAAACAAATAATTTTAATCAATCTCTGTGCAAGACACTTCTTTCAAGAACATTCCAAAAAAAAAAAAAAAAGTCATCCCCATTTATATGTATGTATCTAATCTGGGCCAACTGTATATTATGGGCCTACTCTATATCACTTACTGTAGGTTATATTTAATATATTTCTGTGTGATAATTAATTAATTTGATATTAAAACAAAGCAAATATATCCACTACTTTTTGTTATGACCTTAAACTTTTGTTCATATTTGTCCAATTAGACTGCGACATGAAATTATAATTAAATTAATATTATACTGTATTCTTGTTTAGACACTGCATCTTTGAAACTCATCCAACAATTTGTCCAAACAGTGAATACAACCAAAATGTCTGCTGACATCTAGTGGTGAAAATATAAATATCACAGGTAATGTTACTGCTCAAAATGCCTGTAAATTGGGAGCAAGAACATGTTGACGGTTTGCCATAAATAATTATGCCAATGAACTCTTACACTGTAATAAAATCTAGTCAACTGGTATTTATTAGTGCACTATAGAAATCTAATATGAACCAAATCACCTCTCCAAATACCCTGAAATGGGAAGGAAAAAACCTTGATGAGATTTAAGTATTCAATCTAGTTTTTTCTTTTCTTTTCTTTTTTTGTCACAAACGGTCATATTATTTAAACCATGCACACATTTACCTGTGAAATGCTATGGGAAAAGAAGTCAAACAAAAACATTAATATGAAAAACAGGTTTATTTGTCTGTGTGCTAATGAAATTGAGTTTAAATTCAATATTTTAAACAAACATTTAAATTAAGAGATTCCACCTTCTCATACTGGGGTAGAGCTCGAAGGTTCCCACCATAACAACATGCTCAGAGAGTTACACAGGGTCTTCAGGCCTCACATGCCAGGGACTGGTTTACTGTCAGGCCTTCACTAACGTGCAAATCCACATAAACATGTGCTTCCGAGGAGTCGCCACAAGCTTTACCAAACCAGCACATTCAACAGGCTTCACTCAGACACAAGATGTATAAAAGGCCACAGCACATCAACGATTCAACAATATGCAGCAGAAAAATCAACTAAAAATGTCCTGATCACTTAAACTCAAACCAGATACTGATGCGTTTACTTTCAAAGACCAAAAAAAAAAAGAACAATTTGTGTTTTAATGTCCATTATTGAGCACAAAAATTAATTGTGGTCCTTTGATTCAGTTTGAGATTTATACAAAAAGAGCAAATAGTGAAAATCTGGCTTTAAATATGAAACTGTGAGACTAAATTTGTTCTAACTTCTCACTAAGAAATTCTTCGACGCTGTCTGTGTTCCACTTGAGGATGCTGAGCTCCTCAGCAATGTTCCCGTTATCGTCCAGCAGCTTTAGTACAGGATCTGAGCCTCTCACATACTGCAATGAATTGAAAAAAAGCATCTAGAATTAACCAGTGTTTAAACCAAGTATAAAAGCAATACAATTTTTTTTTTAGACAAATGTTGTTTGTACCAAATAATTTTATTTTATATGCACACATACACTACTGTCCAAAAGCTAGGGGTCGTTGAGATATATATATATATATATTTTTTTTTATTATTTAATTATCTTTTTGCTAAAAAAAATTAATATTGTGAAATAATTTACAATTATTCCAATTCAAAATGTATTTTATTTGAATCTATTTTTAAATGTAATTTGTGTGATGGCAAAGCTGAATTTTCAGCAGCCATTACTCCAGTCTTAAGTGTCATTCTAATATGCTGATTTGCTGCTAAAGAAACATCTAAATTCAAAACAACCACATATTTGAAATAGAATTTGTTCATCTTTACTGTCACTTTTAATTTATTTCATAGATCCTTGCTGAATGAAAGTATTAATTTCTTAAAAACAAGTAGTAATTTCTTTTAAAAAAAACAGACTTTTGAACAGAAGTGTATGTCCATGCGCATGTTTATTACCTTTATAATTTATTTACTTTATTACTTATTAACTATTACCTAAAATATTTCAGAAAATACAAATTCTTTACCTTGATCTGAAGACCCCTGAACATCTTTGGCTTGTCACTCCTGACGAAAGCTGAAGGGAAATATAGTCACAAAAATGACTGTTTTGTAACAGGAGTGCAAAAGTTAACACTCTGATAGTCTATGCCACAAAACAACAGCTGAACTGCTGCTACAAGAAAAACACCCTTTAAAGCATTTCAAATTAACTTGGTTTATTCTGCTACATTTCTAAGCCATTTTTGTATAATCATCAAGCAGTACAAGAATTATAAAGTGTCAATTACTCATACTTGAGGCCAAATCCTCAACCTACCTTGGACTTGAGGGAACCTCCCCAGTTTTCATCCACAGACCTCGAGGATGGCTCCAGGATAGAGCTGTCGAAGAAAAAAAAAGACAAATATACATTAATCTGGGTACAAACAGATTTTCACAAGTCAAGTGATATGACAAAACAATCAAGACTGTGGCCTCTGGCTTGTATCCTTTGCGCATTTTTCATTGTTTGGTGGGTAAAACTGCAGGAAAGCTTCATTAATGCTCCGGCACTCTATGTTCAGTGAAAGAAAATGACCTTGTCATTTGACACAGAAGCTGAACTCACCTTCCTAGACTCCAGCTGAGCCTCCTCTTGGCAGCACTGCCTGCAGGGAAGGTCTAACTGGCCCAAGCTGAACTGACCCAGGAGATCACAGGAGCTGCACAGGAGATTGCTGGAGAAGCCCATCTCCCGGCAGGCCTCAGAGGAGAGCTCCGCTCCATAAGACGCCAGCTAAGCCAGGAAGATTTTCAACATTTTACATGTGAAACAAGCAGTAGATGAAATTCTTTAAGCACCTACACCAGTTAACCTTTAAGTTAACACCTCAAACCTGTTGGAAATTCTCAGCTGTTTTCTGAGAGCATCTTTGATTTTAATGACCCTCAAATGCAATGTCAAAGAACAAGGCAAATGGAGAGTAAAGCACAGGTGCAGGAATTTGCGAGCTTTGGCTACACAGCTACGATAACAAGACTATACTGTTTTATAACTGGTGGTTGACATTTCGCTTCCTAGTTACACACAATTTAAATGATAAAATAAATAGTATAGTTGATACATTTCCATTTAAAAATAAGCACTATCACTTAAAAAATTAAATTCTTTTGGAATGCAGGAAGATTTGAACTTTTGAGACCAGTGTTATTATAGTTAAATAAAACTGAAAGTAAAATTAACCATACAAAATTGTTACTTGAAATAAACCTTAACTGAAAAAAAGAAAAATAGAATATAAAAACATTTTAGAATATATAACGTTTTATGTTGCCAATGCAACATTTGTTTAACTTGATGTACTAAAATAACTAAAACAGAAATAAAAATGAATAAAAACTATATTTATTAAAAACTTTAACTAAAATAAAAATAGAAACTATAAAAACTTTTCAAAATGTTTCAAAAATATATAACTATATAACTATAATACTCTCTCATTTAAACTAAAATAACTGAGACTTTATATTTAAATTGCAACGACTTAAGAATTGTTTGGACCTTGAATCTGATCAACAAGCCTTATGGTATGGAATTTATGGGTTACACTTTACTTGAAGGGGTGTGCATAAGACTGACATGACACCTTCATAATCATGACATGACACATGTCATGAATATTATGGTTTTTTATGCATGTTTATGACAACTGTCATTAAGTGTCATTCACTCAGTTATGTAATTTTTAATGCAAAGATGACATTGTTTGAGATGTCTTTGTTATGGGCTATGGTTAGGGGTAAGGGTAGGGGTAGGGTTAGGTCAAATAATGTCATATTTGCATTAAAAATGACATAACTGAGCGAATGACACTTAATGACAGTTGTCATAAACATGCATAAAACCTCCTTCATATTCATGACATGTGTCATGTCATGATTATGAAGGTGTCATGTCAGTCTTATGCACACCCCTTCAAGTAAAGTGTTACCAATTTATGTTATATGCATTTTTTTATCCACACAAGATAATGAAATAACACTTGGTGAATTTGCTTCCTAGTTACGAGCACTATCAGCTACTCTCGGAAAATCCCCAAAACTGCGAAAACATAAACGTACAGGAATCATATTTTACATCACCGTAATGTTTATTTTAAAAGTTACGTATATTTACAAGCAATTATTTTTTTTTATTTTTTTTTGCTGGTAAACTAGCTAACAGTTTCAAAATGTAATCATTACAGATCATATGAAAAACATTGTCTCAAACTTTTGTAGTAGGTGCAAAGTTAGTTAATGTTATACGGTTAGAAATTAAATCCGCAATATTATACAGATTTGCAATACATTATTTACATTATCAGCCGGTTGAGCCACGTCATTAGCTAACATTAGCGAGACGGCTAACCAGCGCCTTGAACGTAAATACTCCATATTTTACATAGAAACGTGGACTACTTGTCATTGTTGAGTATCTACTTTCAAAGAAGAAAATCTACAGATATGGTTTGTTCACCTACTGTTTGTAATAACGGCAGTAACCAAAGCAGGTACACCTCCCCAGCCATGAGTGTTCTCTTCCGCTCACCGCCCCGCCGCAGAGTTCAGCAG